TTGAGTATAGAGACAGGTTAAAGCATCTTAATTTGCACTCCCTTGAGAGATGTAGAGCGAGGGGCGACCTGATAGAGGCGTATAAGTGGAAGGCAGGGCTAAACAAAGGGGACATGACAAAGGTACTCAAATTATCCAACCAGGAGCGAACTCGTAACAATGGTTTTAAATTAGACAAATTTAGATTTAGGCGTGAAATAGGTAAACACTGGTTTGGAAACAGAGTAGTGGATGAATGAAACAAGTTACCAAATATCATCATTAACTTGAATACGCTGAATTTCTTCAAACATAGGTTGGATGCTCATATGAGCAATAGGGGTTGGGTTTAAACGGGACTGCCCAGTATGGGTCAATAGGCCCGCTGCAGTTTCCTCCATTCTTATGTTCTTATGTTCTTATGTAATAATTATGTTTGGTAACTTGTTCCATTCATCCACTACTCTATTTCCAAACTAATGTTTACCTATTTCGCGCCTAAATCTAAATTTGCCTAATTTAAAACCATTTACAGACCTCTATCATATCGCCCCTCACTCTACGTCTCTAGAAGGAGTGCAAATTAAGATGCCTTAACCTGTCCTGTTTAAAGTGTAGAAGCTGTCGCCAACACAACAACCACAGCCCAAGTTAAGGAGTTGCATGACCCAGTGTCAAGGAATAGTCCGAGAAGACCGGACAATTCGCTTACTGCACTGACTAACCATTACCCCGGAACACGATCCGCAAATCGATTAACATCCAGGTCCCCAATTACTGCTGGGTAGAAAGAGGCAAATGGCTTAAAGAAACTTGTGTTCTGGCATGGGTACAGCGTTACTAACTTGCCAGATGTGTCTGTATCCTAGCCTAATTCTGGCCACGACTACATCAAATTGTCTGGTTCTGTCCTTGTGCTGGCCATACCGGCATCTCTTGTCACAAAATTTGTCATATTTACTAATGCTACAACTGCCAGGTCTCTCCGCATTTCTCAGTTCTTCTAGATCAGAGTTCATGATTTTGACTTGAATGTTTTTAAGTACAGTATTGGACAGGCCAAGGTCCCCGGTCCATATATTCTTTCTTACATGCCTCATTGGTCAGTCTATCAGCACAGTCATGATTCTTAACTCCAACATGGGACGGAATCCACACAATTTCAATACGAGAGTTGTTCTCCTTGGCAGTTATCACATTTCTTTTAATATAACAGACAGCTTTAGACATACTGTAGAGCCTGACGGAATGTTCATTGATTTCAGACTATCGGGCTCAATGCCTAAAGTTGTCTGTGGTATTAAAACAAATGTAATAACTGCTGAAGAGAACAAATAGAGAGGGAGGGACCGGATAGGGTGGTGTGGCAGTGGCAGGGTCAGGATGTAACTAATGTCACCGTGTCAGCGCCTGCCTGCACCACCACCACCCGCTAAAACACACACACACAAACACTCGCACGCACACACACACACACACACACACACCTCTTCTGCAATACCCCTTTCTTCACTTCTTTAATCTCCCACCAAATACCACTCAGAATGTCATCAGTCATCTCATGTCTCACAACCAAACGTTACAACCAGCTTCTACCAGACATTTCTTCTTGATATTTAAAAATTTCACATCCCTTCCTCTGTACTTTTGTAAAACTTGAGGATGTCCCTTTGGTAAGTCTTATTATTACGCCAGATGTTCAAAGTTCACACACAGACGGGCTCATGGATTCGTCATTTACTGGATGGATGGCTAGGTAGGTAGGTAGGTAGGTAGGTAGGTAGACACAGATAAAGAACAGTTCCTTTCAGCACCAGGGTAATTATTGCCCAGTATTATAATTAGCAGTATAATGTTGTACACACAATATGAGACTATTATTATAATCAATGGTGATGGTGACGGTAAACACGGGGAACGGAATGACGACACGAGCTGATACGGTGGTGGTAGTATTGGTGGTGGTAATAGTAGTAGCAGCAGTAGTAGTAGTAGTAGTAGTAGTAGTAGTAGTAGTAGTAGTAGTAGTAGTAGTAGTAGTAGTAGTAGTAGTAGCAGTAGTGGTGGTGGTGGTGGGAGTGGTGGTGATGCAGGTTGTGGTGGTTGACGAGGGTACAGGTTGTAGTGGTTGACAAGGGTACAGGTTGTAGTTGATGCAGAGGCCGACAGAGTGTGTACCATTGTTCCGGGTTTAGTAGTGGTACATCCCACCTCAATGGTCCACACGAAGGCCAACACAGACGAGTACACGGTCTGGCCCGTTGCTGCCCCACTGTAACTCTACTTGTTCGGGTTAACACATAATTTCTGAGATGATTCATTATTTTAAAGATGATACATTGTCTGGCGGGGTGATACATCATCTGGGTGGGATACGAGGGTGATACATGAACTGCCGGATACACGAGGTGATATACAGTCAGTGGGTGATACATAGTGTAGGAACAACGAGAAGAACTTAACTCACAACGTATATGACCTGATTATTAAGTCTAATATCATTCTTGTGTCGCTGGTACGTAATTGACTCGATATAATTACAAAGATCAATCTCCATTACATACAAATGACCTTACCATCCCATCGTCGTTCACTCATAATAACACATACACGAAAGACATTATTCCATCAAATATACTCGCCTTTATTTTTAACCTTCGCCATACAACAACAACAATAACAACAACAACAACAACAACAACAATAACAATAATAATAATAATAATAATAATAATAATAATAATAATAATAATAATAATAATAATAATAATCATCATCATCATTGCAGCAACACGTACAACCAGCGCTATGGTAATCTGTGACCTACACTACATCCGACAGTATTGGTTAGTCTGGGGTGGGAGGTGGTGGTGACAGTGTCAGTGGTGGTAATGGTGGTAGAGGTGGCAGCCGTGGTGGTGATGGTGGTTGGCCTGGTCGTGGAGGTGGTGATAGGGTTAGTGGTGATGGTTATAGTGTTAGTGGTGGTAGTGGCAGCAGTGGTGATGATGTTAGCAAAGTAGTAGTGGAGGTGGTATTACTACACTACACTACACTACACTACACTACACTACCTTTGTTGCCCTACAAGTACTCAGGGGACACTACTTCAGGTGTGTCATGGTGCAGGTGTGTCATGATGCAGGTGTGCCATGGTGCAGGTGTGTCATGGTGCAGGGGTGTCATGGTGCAGGTGTGCCATGGTGCAGGTGTGTCATGGTACAGGTGTGTCATGGAGCAGGTGTGTCATGGAGCAGGTGTGTCATGGGTAGGGGTGTCATGGTGCAGGTGTGCCATGGTGCAGGTGTGTCATGGTGCAGGTATGTCATGGAGCAGGTGTGTCATGGAGCAGGTGTGTCATGGTGCAGGGGTGTCATGGTGCAGGTGTGCCATGGTGCAGGTGTGTCATGGTGCAGGTGTGTCATGGTGCAGGTGTGCCATGGTGCAGGTGTGTCATGGTGCAGGTGTGTCATGGGTTTGGTGTGTGTCATGGAGCAGGTGTCATGGGCAGGTGTATCATGGGCAGGTGTGTCATGGAGCAGGTGTGTCATGGAACAGGTGTATCATGGAGCAGGTGTGTCATGTGGTGCAGGTGTGTCATGGTGCAGGTGTGTCATGGTGCAGGTGTGTCATGGTGCAGGTGTATCAAGATCAAGTGTGTCATAGAGTAGGTGTGTCATGGGTCTGGTGTGTCATGGAGCAGCTGTGTCATGAAGCAGGTGTGTCATTGTGCAGGTGTGTCATGGAGCAGGTGTATCATGATGCAGGTTTGTCGTGGAACTGGTGTATCATGGACCAGGTGTGTCATGCAGCAGGTGTGTGTGTTTTAAGTTCAAGTGTGTCATGGATAAGGTGTGTCATGCAGCAGGTGTGTCATGGGTCAAGAGTGTCATGAATCAAAAGTGTCATGGACCATGTGTGTCATATAGCAGGTTTGTCATGCAGCAGGTGTGTGTCAAATTCAAGTGTGTCATGCAGCAGGTGTGTCATGGACCAAGTGTGCCATGTAGTAGGTGTGTGTCAGGTTCAAGTGTGCCATGGATAAGGTGTGTACCATGGAGCAGGTTAGTCATGGATCACATGTGTCATTAGTCAGTTGTGTCATGCAGCAGGTGTGTCATGGATCAGTTGTGTCAAAGATCAAGTGTGTCAAGGATCAGGTGTGTCATGGGTCAAGAGGGTCATGGACCAAGTGTGTCATGCGATTCTGGTATGTTATGGAGCCCTCGTGTGTCATGTGGTCCTGGTGTATCATGTGGTCCTGGTATGTCATGTGGTCCTAGTGTGTCATGTGGTCCTGGTGTGTCATGTGGTCCCGGTGTGTCATGTGGTCCTAGAGTGTCATGTGGTCCCGGTGTGTCATGTGGTCCTGGTATGTCATGTGGTCCTAGAGTGTCATGTGGTCCTAGAGTGTCATGTGGTCCTGGAGTGTCATGTGGTCCTTTGTGTGTCATGTGGTCCTAGAGTGTCATGTGGTCTGGTGTCATGTGGTCCTAATGAGTGTGTCATTTGGTCCCTGTGGTGTGTCATGTGGTCTAGAGTGTATGGTCCCGGTGTGTCATGTGGTCCTGTAGTGTCATGTGGTCCTGGTGTATCATGTGGTCCTAGTGTATCATGTGGTCCTTTGTGTGTCATGTGGTCCTGGTGTGTCATGTGGTCTAGTGTGTCATTTGGTCCTGGTGTGTCATGTGGTCCTAGAGTGTCATGTGGTCCCGGTGTGTCATGGTCCTGTAGTGTCATGTGGTCCTGAGGGTGTATCATGTGGTCCTAATAGTGTATCATGTGGTCCTTTGCATTATTGATAAAGTAATGGTCCTGGGTGTCATGTGGTCTAGTGTGTCATTTGGTCCTGGTGTGTCATGTGGTCCTAGGTGTCATGTGGTCCCGGTGTGTCATGTGGTCCTGGTGTATCATGTGGTCCTAGTGTATCATGTGGTCGCTTGTGTGTCATGTGATCCTGGTGTGTCATGTGTGGTCCTGGTGTGTCATGTGGTCCTAGTGTGTCATTTGGTCCTGGTGTGTCATGTGGTCCTAGGTGTCATGTGGTCCCGGTGTGTCATGTGGTTCTGGTGTGTGTGGTCTAGAGTGGCATGTGGTCCTAGTGTATCATGTGGTCCTAGAGTGTCATGTGGTCCTGGTGTGTCATGTGGTCCTGGTGTGTCATGTGGTCCCGGTGTGTCATGTGGTCCTGGTGTGTCATGTGGTCCTGGAGTGTCATGTGGTCTTAGTGTGTCATGTGGTCCTGGCGTGTCATTTGGTCCTGGTATGTCATGTGGTCCTAGAGTGTCATGTGGTCCTGGAGTGTCATGTGGTCCTAGTGTGTCATGGTAGTGTCAAGGGGCTACACCACCATCACTACTTGACCTGCTTCCATAACATCACCACCTCCTGGATTTGCCTTCCTCCCTCCCTCACATTAACGCTAAAACAACATTAATTTTAACACGTCTACAATTTTAATTCAATGCTTTCAGGGTAAAACTGGGCAAGGCTTTATTAGTTTTACATAGAGGTGATTTTTATTACGTTTTAATTATATGAGTAATGAATGAGGAGGCGGTAGTTTATTAGTGAAGCGTTTATTATTACTGGTGCCTCCTCCCCCATACACCTGCACACACCTGCTGGCCTTCACCTAAACCTACACACACTTGCTGGCCTTCTTCTAAAACTACACACACCTGTTAGCCTTTTCCTAAACCTACACACACCTGCTGGCCTCCCTTACACCTACACATACCTGCCGGCTCCCAACACCTAGACACACCTGCTGGCTCCCAACACCTACACACACCTGCTGGCTTTCCCCTGTACCTACACACACACACACACACATCTGCAAGTCTTCTGATCCCTCTACACCTGCACACACACCTGGTAGCCCCCCACCCTGTTTCCACTCCTATCCACCTGACTTCACACCTGGGTCGAGAGAGACTAAAGGTGAATTACTGAATAATATGCAGGCAGCATCTCCCACCGCACTGTACACTTACACTGTACACCCCATTATGTTCACCCACTGTACACCCACACTGTACACCCCGCACTGTACACCTTGCACTGTACACCCACACTGTACACCTTACTGTACACCCACACACTGTACTGTACTGTACACCCTGCTGTACACTGTACTGTACACCCAGCACTGTACACTTACCCCACGCAATGCACCCAGCACTGTACACCCCACACTGTACACCCAGCACTGTACACCCAGCACTGTACACCCAGCACTGTACACCCAGCATGTACCCCCACACTGTACACCCAGCACTGTACACCCACACTGTACACCCAGCACTGTACACCCAGCACTGTACACCCCACACTGTACACCCAGCACTGTACACCCCACACTGTACACCCAGCACTGTACACCCAGCACTGTACACCCGCACTGTACACCCCGCACTGTATACCCCGCCTACTTGTACATCCCGTCTTTTGTACACCTCACCTACATGTACACCTCACCTGCATGTACACCTCACCTGCATGTACACCTCACCTACATGTACACCTCACCTACATGTACATCTCACCTACATGTACACCTCACCTGCATGTACACCTCACCTACATGTACACCCCGTCTTCTTGTACTCCTTGTATAAGTGTACATCACATCTATTTGTACATCACACATACTTGTAAAACTCAGAGGTGTACAGTACATCTAATTGTATCCCACACCCAGACTTACTGTAGCTGTACAAAACACCCATTAGTACACGTACAGTTTGTTGTACAGTACATATAACACAGTTCTACATATGATAGTTTTAAGAACTATGCATGTTTGTAGTTTTGATTAAATAATGAAGAAAATTATATAAATGAATTGGTAACTACAGCTGCCACAAGATTCTCACATAAAATTATCCTTATTATTATTATTATTATTATTATTATTATTATTATTATTATTATTATTGACCCCTCCAGCCCTCCTCTCCTTGTGTACCGCAGGCTTAGGTTAAGCTCTCTCCCTACCTCCTGACCCTCTCCTACCCCTTACTCTCTCCCTACTCCCTGACCCTCTCCTACCCCTGACCCTCTCCCTACCCCTTACTCTCCCTCCCCCCTTGCCTTCTCCCTACCCCTTACTCTCTCCCTACCCCTGACCCTCTCCTACCCCCTTACTCTCTCCTCCCCTTACTCTCTCCCTCCCCCCTTACCTTCTCCCTCCCTCATCTCTTCCTCACTGTCCATTATTCAGAGCCTTAGCAAACGGTGATATTTCTCAGGTCTCTTTCTCTTCCTCCTCATCCTCCTCCTCCTCTTCCTCGTCCTCCTCCCCAGCTTCCTCTTCCTCCTCCTCACTCTCCCTCTTCCTCTTCTTTCTCTTTCTCTTTCATCTCTTCCTCTTTCTCCTCCTCGTCTTCCTCTTTCTCCTCCTCGTCTTCCTCTTCCGCCTCCTCTTCCTCCTCCTCCTCCTCCTCTCCTCTTCCTCCCCTTTCTATTTTTTTTTTGTTACTATACTCGAGTTGATTTTTGTTTTTGGTGTTTTTTTTTATTATTGTTCTCAGGGATCACCTCAATATTTACCACCCTACCTAACCTAACCTAACCTAACCTAACCTAACCTAACCTAACCTAACTTAACCACACCATACCTCATCCTGTGTGTGTTTAGGAGGCAGCGTTAGTCACACTTCTGTATAAAAAACAAAACACATCTTTGTTACTTATTTTTTGTTGATGTTTATAGATATTTCCCCACAGAGGGACATTTTTGTGGTGTATATTATTAAAATAAACATTGGAACCTCAGCTTAAGTTTTACACGGTACAGGAATCATATAGGTGAGTTAATAAATAAATGAATGTATAAATAAGTTAATAATAAAACTGCATATACATCAGACATTATACAAAGATCTTTTAATTGAATATATATAACTTGTTTGTATGGAGTTCGATTGTTTGTAACGCGTATATATTTTTGTTTACAGGAGAGAGTTAACAGTAAGTACCTAAAATAATTATTAATTTCAATAAAAATACATGATATTGGTATAAAATAAAATATTTATGCACGAAAATACTATATAATATAAGGAACACTTATTTAAAAAAACGTTTGTTCAAGTGAGCAATAATTATACACGGAAACAACTATTTGTGGTAGCTAAAAATCATTATGCCAACAGCTATTAATTATTAGAACAGATAACAATCAATTATTTGCACACAATAGATTCAGTTATTTTACAGGCAGAACAGTGAAGGCTTTACAAATGACCTACTACGGTGAATAATGGCGAGGGTGAACCAGAGTGGTGGTCACTGATGTGTATTAATGACCATGAGCTGTGTCTGGCACCCCTCAGTCACCTGTGGCACCCCTCACTCACCTGTGGTACCCCTCACTCACCTGTGGCACCCCTCATTCACCTATTGCACCCCTCACTCACCTGTCACTCACCTGTGCACCCTCATTCACCCTATTGCACCCCTCACTCACCTGTGGCACCCCTCACTCACCTGTGGCACCCTCACTCACCTGTGGCACCCCTCACTCACCTCTGGCACCCCTCACTCACCTGTGGCACCCCTCACTCACCTCCTGGCACCCCTCACTCACCTGTGCACCCCTCACTCACCTCAGGCACCCCTCACTCCTTGTGACACCCCTCACTCACCTGTGGCACCCCTCACTCACCTATTGCACCACTCCTCACCTGTGGCACCCTCCTCACCTCTGGCACCCCTCTCTCACCTCTGGCACCCCTCACTCACCTATTGCACCCTCACTCACCTACCCCTCACTCACCTGTGGCACCCCCACTCACCTGTGGCACCCCTCACTCACCTGTGGCACCCCTCACTCACCTACTGCACCCCTCACTCTACCTATTGCACTCCTCCCACACCACCGCCACCCACCGCCAACACCACCACACCACCACCACCACCACCACCACCACCACCGCCGCCACCACCACCACCGCCGCCATTACACTAACAAGGAGAAGCAACAGAAAAAATCAATATGACCCTCAATCACAGGTCCGGCATCTCTATCTTCATTAACATCACCACGACGACGATGACGACTGCTGAGGAACAGGCGGTGGACGGGAGTGGTGGCGGTGGCGGTGTCGGTGCGGTAATCGGTGTAACGGTGTTATGTCGGTGGTGTGTTGGTGTCGGTGGCGGTGGCAGTATCGGTGTCGGTGTCGGTGGGGGTGTCGGTAGTTGATATCGATGGCGGATTTGTGGTTGGTCGCAGCTAGATCGACCAAAGATGAATACTGACTAACTCCTGCATAAGTTGGTCACGCGGCGGTTTGTGATGAATAAATTTGAGTAAATCTTCTTTCTCGAAACACCTGATTAACTATTCCTTTCCTCCTTCCCTCTCTCATTCCCTCTCCCTCTATTCCACCACCTCCTTCTTCTCCTCATCCTCTTCCTCCTCCTCCTCTTCCTCGTTAAGGCGACTTGGGTGGCACTTGTGTTTGAAGTAAATGCTCTTGGTTATTATGGAGTTAAGGACCAGCAGGCTGATGAAGAGGTGTTCCGCCTCACTGACGCTGTGAAGAGAGAGAGAGAGAGAGAGAGAGAGAGAGAGAGAGAGAGAGAGAGAGAGAGAAGAAGGAAGAGGAAGAAGAAGAAGAAGAAAGAAGGAAGAAGGAAGAGAAAGGAAGAAACAAGGAAGAACAAGAAGAAGAAGGAAGGCAGAAGGCAGAAGAAATAATAATATCCACTGAGGTCTTAATTTGATCCGAAACACCGAAATAACCTGTTTTTCGCTCAGTGGATCACCGATATGTACCCGGCCACAGTAAGGGACAGGACCCGGCCTTACCCCGCCTGCCACACGGACCATCCCAACCTGGATTTAGCCTCTACTTTCAGCCTTTCCAACCTGTTGAAGAGTGGTGGCCCGGCCCTCCTGCGGCACCCACCTCCTGAATCTGGTGCCGCTCGTTGGTGAAGGTATGACGAGGAGCATAAATATTTTCAGAAGTGGGGGAGAGGGGCCCCGTGTTCCAGGTGTGGGGCCCCGTGTTCCAGGCGTGGGGCCCTATGTTCCAGGCGAGGGGCCCCAT